TCTAGGATTAACCCTTTCTGCTGTAAACATAGCAGTTTCAGAGAAACTGCTATGTTTACATTAGGGTTAATCCAGCCTCTAGTGGCTGTCTCATTGACAGCCGCTAGAGGCGCTTCCGCGCTTCGCACTGTGATTTTCACAGTGAGAAGACACCAGCGTTCATAGGAAAGCATTGAGAAAGCTTTCCTATGAGACTGGCTGAATGTGCGCACGGCTCGTGCCGCGCATGCGCATTCAGCCGATGAAGGAGAAAGTAGGCAGAGAGTCCCCACCACCGAGGGAGCCCGGCTGTGGAGAAAAGGTATGCGTTCCACCCCCTAGATCCCGATGGGAGGGGGACCCTAAGGGTGGGGGCAACGAGTTTGTTTTCCTGGCACTATAGTGGTCCTTTAACAGACATAAATACAATAGTGCAAGATGGCCATATATTGGGATAAAATACAGATTAATTATACATAATTTGCATAAAAGATGATCAATTTATAAATGTACATGTACATTTTTGCATAGTTGGGCAGTTTTTAGGGCAGTTTTTGTGTGTGATTGCAAATATTTGTGTTTCTTGGGTATTTCCCATTTCTCAGGGGAGACATTCTGTTTTAAGACTTCTTTAGGTAACAGAAATGAGTGATAATCTCAAACAAAATTCTGATGATCAAACAAAAGTGATACAAAATTCTAGTTTTAGATAAAAGTATCACTGGGAAAAAAAGAGTAATTTTTAATTAACTCTAAGCAAGCCCCTACTTGTAGTCCCCATGCAGTTCTGCCTGCCTTAAAAGGACATTCTAGGCACCAATACTCCTTGAATACATTTGATAGAGTTTGGTATCATTATTGTTCAATTCTTTATAGTTTTTCCATACAATAAATAAATGTTTTGCAGAATGCTGCACCATAAGCCTGCTTCTCTAGCCGCATCCCCTCACTCCATAAAAATACATCCTTATCAAAGGTATACACACAGCTCAGCCACTGACTGTACTGATTGGTCTGAAAAACAAAACAACCTGCATCAGAAATATATATAATATATAAAATAGGAAAAATACAGCATATCAATAAGGCGAAAAACTATCAAATGCATTAAAGTTATATTACCCTACCAAATGTATTAAAGTTCTAGTGTCCCTTTAAGCCATTATTTTGTGTTATGTCCAAAGCCACCATTGTCATATCCTATCTATCTTAACATGACCTTTTCTCATGATTGCAGCCGTTGTAATTTTGTCAGGTCTGGTAATATTCAGCTATTTTTATAGCTACATTTTGGAGGAAGTAGCTAAGATGACCATTTAAGTCCATTTAAATTAATCGTAGCAGTTGAAAGTCAATGAGATCAATGCAATGAGTAGAAATCAGAAGAGACACGTGTGCTTGCTATTGGTGTTGCAGTCAACAGTTTTATAGCACCCTACTGAATTCAGACATGCAGAACTCAGCAGAACATGGGAAGATCCAGTAAACGGAAATAGGTTGAATACATTGAAATGAAATGTAACAGAATAATGTTCAGTATCTTCAGATTTTTAACTAGCAATTGTTGCGAACAGACATCTGTTTATTTGTATTAAAGATCTTGCTAAGTGATCCTTTTAAGAGTTAAAACACTACAATTACCATATTCTCCTAGTTTCCCCCAATCTTTTTTGTTTTGTTTTGTTCCCTTTGCTGATTCTGCACTATGCTGCTTTTCTTCTCTTTTCCATTTACAGTTTGGAATGTACTCTTGTTGACTTTTTGCGTTAGTGTCAAATGATGACAGTAATCATACAATGCATAATGATGCATTTGCCCAATCGACTCTAGCATACATTGTTGCTGCATTTTTCTCTCTATATAACTGCATGGCCATTTTTAATATATTCAGCTTTTATTGTAGATATCTAAACATTACCTTTTTACTCAGCACTTTTAACTGATTCTAATGTTAACATCTGTTCCTGGCCAATAATGCTATATTTGCAGACTTACAACTTCAGGCTGTCTGACAGTATGATGTAAGTGACCCACATACAGAAAATGCTGCACTCAGCTGTGTTTTTGGTCTACCAGTTGTAGTCTGCATTTCTAAACTTTGTTTTTTAAACAAAAAATGTTTGTATGCAGTTAGAAACATGAAGCAACGTTTTCACAATGCTACGTGTTTCATGTTACGTAAATATATGTTTTATGGTGTATGACAGTGGTTCCCAAACTTTTTAGGTTCAAGGCACCCTTAATATTTCAGTATTTTTCTAAAGCACCCCAAGTCAGAATTTCGAGGTTGTATATCTGTACATCGCTGCGGCATTTACTGGCGCGATAGTGTAATGTACAGTGTTGGTGTTTAAAGCGGTGCTTGTATATAGTTATTGTGTTTTAATACAGGGGTGTGCTTGTATGTAATGTTTGCGTTTGTTTGCAGGGGTGTGTCTGAATGTTCACTTCTAAATGCAGATGTACGTTTGTGTGAAGTATTTGTGTTTGAGTGAAGGGGTGTGTTTGTATGTAGTGCTGATGTTTGACTGCTTGCACTAAACATACTTGCACTAACAGAAACATGGCTCTCTCCCTCTGATACTGCTACACCTGCCTCACTGTCTTTTGGTGGTCTTCACTTTACCCACAACCCAAGACAAGCGGAGATTAAAGGTGGCGGTGTAGGTTTTCTTCTCTCACCCCATTGCACCTTTAAAACCCTGTCTACCCCCCCTTCCCTCTCTTTCCCATCATTTGAAATTCATTCAATTCGCCTTTTCAAACCCTTCTCTGCTAACATTGCCGTAATCTATCGTCCCCTTGGTTCCCCTCTCCTCTTCCTTGACCACTTTGCTGCCTGGCTACCCTACTTCCTCTCTTCCAACATCCCATCCCTAATTCTTGGAGACTTCAATATTCCCGTTAACCCACCTTTGACCCCAGCAGCCTCTAAACTACTTTCAATCACTTCCTCCCTTGGACTTTTGCAGTGGGCTAATTCTCCCACTCATGTAGCTGGCAATACCCTCAACCTTATTTTCTCTTCTTCATGTACAATATCTAATATCTGCAACACCCCATTTCCTCTCTCTGATCACCACCTCTTATCGTTTGCTCTCAATTACCCCCTCACCCAACAATCTCAGCCTAACCCCCCTCAGCTCAGGAGGAACCTTAACTATATTGACCTCAAGCAGCTGTCAGCTGACATTGATTCACAACTGCTATCCATCCCTTCCCTCTCCTGTCCCTCACTGGCCATCTCCACATATAACACTACCCTCACATCTGCCTTGAACGCTGCAGCCCCGCTCAAAACATGCACCTCGAGGAGGACACGACCCCAACCTTGGCCAACGGCCAACACGCTATCTGCAGAGTTGCTCCCGTTGTGCTGAACGCTCCTGGAGGAAGTCCCGCACCCAGGCAGACTTTCTCCATTATAGATTCATGTTGCTTTCATACAGCGCAGCCCTCACCCTCGCCAAACAGTCATACTTTTCCTCTCTCATTAGTTCATGCTCCCGCAATCCCAGACGCCTCTTTGACACCTTTAATTCCCTTCTCCGCCCTGCTGTGGCCACCCCCAAACTAACCTTACAGCTGATAGCTTTGCATGCTACTTTACCGACAAGATTGAACAGCTAAGGAAACAATTCTCCCCTCCTTGCCGTTCTCTTTCTCAACCACATGTAAATCTTGCTTTCCCTACCCTCCAGACTTTCTACCCGGCTACTGAACAAGAGGTGGCTGCGCTTCTCCATTCCTCTCGCCCCACCACTTGCCCGCTCGATCCTGTCCCATCTCACCTCATCAGATCTCTCTCCCCTTGTCTTGTGCCTACCCTAACACACATCTTTAACTGCTCTCTCTCTTCTGGCACTGTTCCTGCTGACCTTAAACATGCCACTGTAATACCTATCCTGAAAAAACCATCTCTTGACCCATCCTCCCCTTCTAACTATCGTCCCATATCCCTGCTCCCTTTCTCATCAAAGCTTTTGGAAAGGCTTGTCTTTACCCGTGTGTCCCGCTTCCTTAATTCCAACTCTCTCCTTGACCCTCTTCAGTCTGGCTTCCGCCCTCTCCACTCTACTGAGACTGCTCTTATCAAAGTGACTAATGACCTAATCTCCGCTAAATCCAAAGGTCACTACTCCATATTAATTCTCCTTGACCTCTCTGCTGCCTTTGACACCGTTGATCATGCTCTCCTCCTTCAAACTCTTCAATCGCTCGGTCTCTGTGACTCGGTCCTCTCTTGGTTTTCCTCCTATCTCTCCCAACGCTCATTCAGTGTCTCCTTTTCCAAGGATACCTCCTCCACTCGTCCTGTCTCGGTTGGAGTTCCCCAAGGGTCTGTCCTTGGTCCCCTTCTATTTTCTCTTTATACCGCCTCTCTTGGTAAACTGATTGCCTCTTTTGGATTCCACTACCACCTATACGCTGATGACACTCAGATATACCTCTCCTCCCCGGACCTCTCCCCTGCTGTCCTGCAACGTGTCACTGCTTGCCTTTCTTCCATCTCTGACTGGATGTCTTCACGCTTTCTGAAACTTAACCTCTCTAAAACTGAACTCCTTGTCTTTCCTCCTCCTAATACTGATCCCCCTCTCTCGCTCTCCCTTCAAGTCAGTGATATCCACATAAGTCCATCCCTGCAAGCGCGCTGTCTTGGCGTCATACTTGACTCTGGTCTCACCTTCGAGTCTCACATCCAGTTTGTTGCCAAGTCCTGTAGGTTCCAACTCAAAAACATAGCCCGCATTCGCCCCTTTCTTACGCAAGATGCTACCAAGGAGCTTGTCCATGCTCTAGTAATTTCCAGCATGGATTACTGTAACCCTCTCCTGATTGGTCTCCCCAAAAGCCGTATTGCCCCGCTACAGTCTGTAATGAATGCTGCAGCTAGACTGATTTTCCTCTCTAGTCGGTCCTCTCACACCTCACCCCTCTGCCGGTCCTTACAATGGCTCCCTGTATGCTATAGGAGTCAATTCAAAGTGCTAACCCATACATTTAAAGCACTGAACAGTTCTAGCCCCGCTTATATCTCTTCACTGATCCATAAATATGCCCCTCCACGTACCCTCCGCTCTGCCCGTGACCACCTCCTGACCGCTGCTCGCACCCGTACGGCCAACTCGCGCTTGCAGGACTTCTCGCGGGCGGCTCCTCTCCTATGGAATAGCTTGCCTGCTGCCATCAGACTCTCCCCTAGTCTTCAATCATTTAAGAAGGGCCTTAAAACCCATCTCTTCAGGAAAGCTTATGGCCTCCCAGGGTAATCTCTACCTTACATACCTGTCTCCTGCTCTCTCCTATGGGACAGTGCTTTGCTCTCTCCTCCAGCTCTGCTTCACTCCTACTTGATATTTATTGTCCTAATGTTTCAAATACCCCACCTCCAATAGTCTGTATGCTCGTTTGAGCAGGGTCCTCTTCAACCTATTGTTCCTGTAAGTTTTCTTGTAATTGTCCTATTTATTGTTACACCCCCCCTCTCAAAATATTGTAAAGCGCTACGGAATCCGTTGGCGCTATATAAATGGCAATAATAATAATAATAATAATAATGTATGCTTGGGTGTATGGGAACTGCTGGTGTATGAGATAGTGGATTCACTATTGTATCATTACATTTCTTGTCAGCTACTGTTGTGGACAGAATATTAACTCTATTAATTTTTAGTAAAATGCCTATTTACTCCGCTTAACTAAAATCAATATTATTCATAACTTACTTAAAATGTCCGCTAGGGAGTTTCCCCCGTTATCAACTAACACCCTCGAATTAACGAGATGGCGCCGGAATCTGGAGGAGAGCTCCATTATGCCAGTGAAATCAGACCCGGTAGGATGAGCAATTGATGAACCACTTAACCCCTAACCAATTATTGATGTATTTTCCTCTGTTATCTATAATTATGCATATGATGTATTTCTGCTTTATAAGAGGCATACCGGCCCCCCAGAATAAAGATTCCTGAGTTTTTCATGAACCTGGAAACTTGTGTCTGGTGTGAATTACTTTAGGAAGCGTGCACGCAACATATAACCAATTTGGACAGGGGCAGATATACAAAATTATCAAACACTTGATTTGATCCACGACAGCTATCTCAACAGCACTGTTACACTGTCAGTGTGAGTGCACAACTATTAAAAGGTACAAAAAGCTGGAGAAGTACAATGATGCAGGGACTTAAAGGAACACTACAGTGTCGGTAACACAAACATGTAATCCTAAAGTGTTAAGATAGATATTTACATTAATCATGTTGTTGATTAATTTCAGAATAGATTTATCAATGTAATGTGTCTTTGTAGCCTGCATATCTCCTTACATTGCATTAATGTTGTGGTTGATTTATTTAAAAGTGATGTTAATTGGTAT